TTAGAGTCAGAGGTTAAACTCTCTGACTTAGAGCGTCTCGTGAGTAGAAGTCCAAACCTTAAGTCATTAAAGCTGAATCGAGCCGTGACTCTAGAAGGACTCGAGAGCTTACTTCGTCGAGCTCCACAGTTGACTGATCTAGGCACAGGTTCTTTCTCAGCTGAATTCGAACCTGAAATGTTTTCCAAGTTATCAAAAGCTTTCTCAGAGTGTAAGAACCTCAAGAGCTTATCTGGTCTTTGGGATGTTATCCCTGAGTATCTACCAGCTCTTTATTCTGTTTGTCCTGCTCTTACCTCGTTGAACTTGAGCTATGCTACTGTCCGAATGCCTGATCTCGTCGGGATTCTTAGACGATGCTGGAAACTACAGAAGCTATGGGTGAGTATATCTAATCTTTGAGCCTCTAGTTATGTTGGTTCTTAGTTACTAATGAGACGTTTTCTTGCAGGTAATGGACTTGATAGAAGACAAAGGTCTCGAAACTGTGGCTATGCGTTGTAAGGATTTGAGAGAACTGAGGGTGTTTCCATCTGAACCAGATCTCGATGATTTAAGTGTAGCTCTGACGGAAGAAGGTCTGGTCACTGTGTCTAAAAGTTGTCGAAAGCTGGAATCGATTCTCTACTTTTGTGTCCAGTTTACAAACGCGGCTTTGATTACCATATCAAGATTCCGTCCCAACATCAAGTGCTTCCGTCTCTGTGTAATAGAGCCATTTGCTCCTGATCACGTAACACGTGAGCCGCTTGATGAAGGATTCAGAGCGATAGTTGAGGGATGCAAGGATCTTCGAAGGCTCTCTGTCTCGGGTCTCCTCACTGACAAGGCCTTTGAATACATTGGGAAACACGCCAAGAAGGTTCGGATGCTATCAATAGCATTCGCTGGGGACAGTGATTTGATGCTTCATCATTTGTTATCAGGCTGTGAGGGTTTAAAGAAGCTTGAGATAAGAGATTGTCCTTTTGGAGACACTGCACTACTGGAGCACGCTTCGAAACTTGAAACCATGCGATCCCTTTGGATGTCGTCTTGCTTTGTAAGCTTTGGTGCTTGCAAGCTTCTCAGTCAGAAATTGCCAAAGCTCAATGTCGAAGTCATTGATGAAATGTACCCTCCAGAGTCAAGACCTGAGAGCTCTTCAGTTGAAAGGATATACATATATCGAACACTCGCAGGACCGAGATTGGATATGCCTGAGTTTGTGTGGACAATTCACAAGAATCCCGAGATCGGAGTTTCAAATCTAGCCATAAAGTAAAGTTGCTGCTTCGATCATTTTTTTCTTTTCATTTTCAGTTATTGCAAGCATTGTTGTTGGACATTCACCTTCCATTTGTTCTCTTTCGTATTGTACTCTGTTGAGCAAAACTTTTTGTCTTTGTACTAAAGTTTGGAATAATTTGTACTAAAGTTTGGAATAAAAACTCTCACTTTTATGAGATTCAGTAAATTCATTAGTTTTGTAATGATACAGCCAAAATCACGAGATAAACAGTAAGCAAAACAATTTGCTAATAGTACTTGCAAAGCCTAGGTGAAAACTACAAATGTTACCTCAAACCATCACAATCAGCAATACGAACCAGTAGTAACATCTTTGGCAAGAACTGGATCAGTGTGTCTGAGTTGAAACCTTGTCATGCGGTTCTGTTTCCATCGTTTCCAGCAGATTTCTTGATTGATTCAAGAAGATGCTCTATTCTGTATTTCATCACAGGTTGACCATGTCGAGTCTTTCTCATCATATTCCCCCTTGCTACTTTCCTCCGAGCTTCGGCCTCTTCTTTCGCTTCCTTCTTTGCCTTTATCGTCGACTCTCTCTCCATCCTGACTTTTGTTGGACGTGTATTATGATGATTATGGACCAAGGTTTGGTCATTAATATCATAATTATATAATTGATAATGTTGAATGAGAAATGTGTATACATTTGGTTGAATTTGGTTTAGTGGTTAACTGTGGTTTGTTTGGGTGAGATTGACTAACAAGAGTCAAAGATATTATCTTCCTCATATCTCTCCAACGTTCCCACTCCTCCTATTTCTCCACTTAGTCACGATCTCGTCAACAAGGAAGAGATATCTGCGGGACTTGAAACTGT